GGATTGATTCGAAGTCATACTCCTGTAATCTTTCTAACCATCTTGCAACCTGTCCTTCAGGAGACTTGAATCTCAGCAACCACATCAGTGCGGCATGGTCGGTTCTCAGGAGAAACCTTCTTCCATACAGGTACTTATGGAAGTGTTCTATGGACTTAACCACTGCGAGAAGCTCCCTCCTGGTGACACAGTAATTACGCTCAGGTGCTGACAGGACCTTACTGAAGTATCCGATCACATGTTCTTCTCCATCCTGGAGCTGAGAAAGAACTCCTCCAATGGCTGTATTGCTAGCGTCCGTGTCTAATATGAACTTTCCGTCGGATCTTGGGTAGCTCAATATGGGTGCGCTGCATAATTTAGTCTTCAGCTCCTCAAAAGCTTTATCGCAGTCGTTATCCCAAACAAAGGTCCTCTTGTCTTCGGTCAACTTGGTTAGTGGTTTTGCAATATTAGCAAATCCCTTAACAAATTTCCTGTAGTAAGCACACAGCCCGAGGAAGCTTCTAACCTGGTGCTTATCCTGAGGTATCGGCCAATCGGTGATAGCTCTGATCTTCTCCGGATCCACAGACACTCCTTTGTCCGATACGACATGGCCGAGGTAATTGACCTGTTTGCGGAACAAGTTGCACTTCTTGGGGTTCAACTTCAGATTAGCCATCCGCAGTCGCATGAAGACATTCTCCAGGTTCTTCAGGTGGTCTTCGAAGGATTTGCCTAGGACGATAATGTCGTCCAAGTAAACCAGGCATGTCTCCCATGACAATCCCCTGAGGACGTTCTCCATAAGCCTTTCAAAAGTAGCAGGAGCATTACAAAGTCCAAAAGGCAGCACAGTGAATTGCCAAAGTCCTGTCCCAATAGAGAACGCTGTCTTCTCCTTATCCTCAGGAGCGAGCCCGACCTGCCAGTAGCCACTTCTGAGGTCTAAAGTCGAGAATATTCTACATCCTCCCAGAGTGTCGAGTGTGTCATCAATCCTGGGGAGAGGGTAGCTGTCTTTCTTGGTGACATTGTTGAGAAGGCGGTAGTCTACGCAAAATCTCGTTGAGCCGTCCTTCTTTTTCACTAGTACTACAGGTGACACCCAAGGGCTGCTAGAAGGCTCGATAACACCATCCGCTTCCATCTCCTTTATGATTCCCTCGGCTTCGTCACGTTTTGCCAGTGGGAGTCGTCTAGGGGCCTGACGTATGGGTTTTGCATCTCCGGTGTCTATCTTGTGTTGTACTATATTCGTTCTTCCCCTAGGGCCACTTCCGTACTCAAAGACATCTTGCCATCTGGTAACAAAGTCCCTAATTTTTGCACTTTGTTGATGCGTCAGCTCCTTACAGGTGCTCTCCACGAAATCTTCCAGCTCTTTCGGCAATCCATTTGGGGATGGCGGACATGATTTTAGTTGACGCACCACCGAATTAACAGCCACGCAAGTTCCGATCGTTACTCCTCTTTTAATTGTCACAGGAAAACCATTCAAGTTCATCAGCCGCACCGGATTTTCGTGTCCTAAGTTAAATAAGGATCTGGCGACAACGACACCACGTCCAAGCTGGGATTCACTGTCACTTCCTGGCTCCAGAAGAACACTTTGTCCACTAGTCCAATCTCCTTCGACAGTAGTTCGAACGATGACTTGGCTGCGTGCTGGTAGCGTTGTGTCTTCCAATAGAAGGACGCGTGCAGAGATATCCTTTCCACGCCGAAGTATGACATCTTCATCTCCGAGAGTCATTAATCCTCTTGACATGTCCAACTTCAATCCAAACTTCACCATTATATCGGTTCCCAAAATCACGTCCTCGTCTATGTCGGCAACAAGTGCGCAGTGTTGAAACACGCAGCCGCCGATGTGAAAGGTAGCGACCGTCTGCCCATAGACCTGAGCCAGCTGACCTGTAGCTGTACGTAGAGACCATGATGTTGGTGAAATATCTTCCGTCGACACCGTGCTTGGATTCAGGATGGTCATAGTCGCCCCGGTGTCCAGAAGACAGCTTTGGAGACGCCCGTTCACCTTTCCGTCGACGTAGAAACTGCTCGACTGACTTCCCAGTGAAGCAACTTTAACACTTTTCCTCGGGGCTTTCAAATCACGGGCTGACGGTTGCCCCTTTCCATCAACCCTCCTTAGTTTTCCTGCTTCGGTTCTGATGTGGTCGAAGGACATTTACTCCGGGGATGTCCTATCTGTCCGCAGCTCCAACAGCGTATCTGCCGGCGACGAGTTTTTAGTGCCTCCAGCACTCTCTTTACTAGCTCCTCGATGTCCAGTGGAGTTGTAGGTTCTGTGTCTGCCACGCGGACTCGAGCCTGGCCCCTCACCGACTGTCGCACAGCCTCGAACTCCAGTGCCTGTGTCAGTGCGTCACTCAGGGTCTTTGGTCTGGCGAGTTTCACTGCCTGTTGAGTCTCAGGTTCACGTAGACCGTCTAGGAATTTATCCACCGCCAAACTCTCGTAGACATCATCCGTGACCGATGGATAGGCGTTTCTCACCAGGCGAGCAATGTCGGCTTCAAACTCCTGAAGTGACTCGCTGGGCTTCTGGATCCGGTTCCGCAGCTGTGATCGATAGAGCTGGTCCATATGTCGATGTCCAAAGCGCATGTCCAATCTTCTTACTAACTCTGCGAAATTCTTCCGCTCCGCCATTGGCATAGCATGCAGAACAGCTAGTGCATCACCCTGTAGTGCAAGGCACAGTGCTGAAGCCTTTGTCTCCTCGGTCCACCCATGAACCATAGCCGCTGTCTCGAAGAGAAGCATGTAGTCCTCCCAGGGAGTTTTGCCATCGAAGTGAGGAACGATGTTCTGAGGGGCAACGGCAGCAATGGTGGGCGCTGGTTTGGAGATCGTATCTAGGGTGTTATCCTGCTGAAGTTCGCTAGTGCTAGCCGATGACGCAGGTGTGAAGCTCCCCGATGCAGCCATCTCCTGCCTAAGCTTATCAACTAACCTATCTTCTAGATTCTTTTCTATACAGTTAACTTTCTCATCGATTTCATTTATTCTACTTTCTAAACTATCAACTTTGCTAGAATATTCACCTAATTTGTTCAGCATTTTTGATTCTACATTTGACATTTTTGTCTCGATGCTAGCTTCTAAGTTTTTGTTATTTTCTGACATTTTTGACTCAATGCTAGCTTCTAGGTTTTTGCTATTTTCTGACATTTTAGACTCGATATTAGCTTCTAGGATTGACATTTTTGACTCTAATGTTTTGCTATTTTCTGACATTGACTCTAATGTTTTACTATTTTCTGACATTTTTGACTCTAAGTTCTTAAGCATTTTATTCATATCTGATGTTTCAAATAAAACGTTTTCTGGGTCTTCACCTGCATCAATTAAAGCTTGTTTAAGGCGTGCCTGAAGGGCTGATTTAGTTCCACTAGTATCAATATCTCGTTCTTCTAATTCTCTCCTAAGGTCAGCTACTTTTAACTCATCAAGTTTCACACCTTTGAAAGCCATTTTTATGCCAAACAATTAAAATAATTTTACAATAAATTATTTTTTCCTTTGTAAACAAATTTACGACACAAATTACTACTATGTAATGAAGACCCTGAATCTTACTAAAATATCTAATACAACTAAAATTAAACTCAATATTTTACAATTAAAATCGCCAAAATAATGCCGCTTTCTGACACCAATTGTTGCGGGCTTAGCAGGTTCTTTACAAATAAAACTTGGCGATTTTATAATAACTATTTATTTACACTAATTATTCTATATTTACAGATATTAGAATTACCTAACACCTAACTAACCCTATCTAAACCTAGCTAAGGCCTATTCTAATTTACAATGTTTCTACTTACAGCTAGCCTCCACAGGATTTATCACTTCTGTTACAACACTGTCACTACACTGTCACTAGAGTCACTACACTGTTACTCTCACTGTCACTACACTGTCACTGCCACTAGCACTAGCACTGGTCACTAACACCGACGGGCACTGCTGCGACGATTCTCGGAAGGCTCAACTCAACTCAACTGCCGTGTGCCGGAAGACGGTCCCTTATATAAGTTTGCCGTAGAACATTCTGGAGACCCCTGGTAGCCTAGACAAAGGTGTTTACGCCGTAGAAGTGTAGAAGGTTCTAGGGCCCCTATTGAGGTAGTCCGTTGACATGGGTCTATTGTCTTTCACTGGCACGTACGGAGAAACCCGTGTAAACAAACAACCCTTTTGATACGGCGCCTGGCTATTGTTGCGCGGGGCTCCTGACTTGTAACAATATGTTCGGAAAAATGGTTTTCAAAAAGCTAAAAACAAACAATATAGTTACAATATCATTCTACAACTAATGGAACCGAGTTGATCAAAGTTTGCGTCATCTCTTGTTTTGTTCTAACGGAAAACCAATAGCTAAAAAATGCTAACTGTTTGTCTATGAAAGGTTATTTACAAAATTTGTCAAATTTCCCAATTTCATTACTCAGACAGCTTATTCGCTTTACTCAATCGACGATTAATGAAAATAATGTGTTTAGTTCCTCGTAACAGTAAAGATTGAGCCCTCAACTACGAACCTTTCCTCTAATTCTTCGTTGGGCTATTTCGTTAACGGATGTTTCAACACGTTTTTGGGGATCTGAGTGTTCCCTTAGTTGCGAATTACGATATCATATAATCTTATTACCTGTTGTTAGGATATAAGTTCAATAAAACTAATACAGACTCGCGTATCCTGCAGGTTCGCTGGCCCCCAAATCCACAACTTTGTACCAAATGTAATTTTGATGGTTCGATTTAAAATAACCATACTCTTAATTTATAGAATTAATGAAAATCTCGCTCCTAATCAAATTGGGACATAACAAAGTTGGGGACAGAGATTTTTTCCCTATTCAGTAATCATGCAGACTACTGTAATGCGGTAAACGACTACATTGCGCTCTCCTGATAGTTCCACGTCGTTTTCATTGTTGGTAACGTCGCGACGGACGATGCGCCGCGGCTCTCGCACGAGTTGTGCCGTGCTCGCTCGCTCAGCTCAGTGTCGTTTTGTCCTTCGTCTGCGTCGGATAGTGCGCCCGTGCTTGTGTTGTGCCGTGCGTGAGTGGATTACACCAACATTGTGTTTTGTGTGTAAGTTGTTGACATATATTGTACATTCGATATTTTTTTTGTTTATTGTTTCAATTGGACATTTTGTAATTTTTTTTAGTCACCCCTGCAGCGAAACATTTGTTCAAGCGAATTTTAAGTTGTTTTATTAGTCTATTGTTTACAAATAATGTGAAACATAAAAAAAACAAAAAGTGAAAATTACACTTTTGGTATTGAGTTGTCTCACGTATTATTAGGTAAAACCTATATATATATTAAATATATAGACACAAAAAAATTCTTCAACAAATATATAGATATTGATAATTGATTGATGCAACAGTTTATTATTTACTAAAAAGCAAAGAGGCACAGTACATAGGTCCAGACAGTTTCCATTTGCTTAAACATCAGTTCTGTTTCAGTGTATGCCCGTAAATGCGGAAGAGAAAATTTAAGTCGAGTAATTGTATACCAAATTTAATTGAAGCAATGCATAGTGTTGTCATGCAATATGAGGTACTTTTTTCTGGTTTTATCTCTACGAAATCCGTAGCCCTATTGTTGCAAGCAACAATTACATTTTAAGTACGATTAATTTTGGTATAAAATCACTCTACCTTAGTGAAACGTATTACTGTAAGACTTTACGCAGTCCATCGATTTTCGATTTTCTATATAGGTCTATGCTGTATATAACACACTAGGTACTATTAACACTGTAATAACTTATGCAACATCATCGTTGTTGTCCTAGTCACAGTTAATTGTTATGCATTTACATCTTAAATGAGCACAGTTTAACAATATTACACTTATTTATTTAGGGTCTAGTTATAGAAGGTATGAGGTTCCACTGTAAAGCCTCAATAACCTCAATAAGACCCACATGTCATTAAATATGACTTTTATAATGGTTGACTCCTTATCGAGGTTTTCAATAAGATGTGGTTAGGGATAAGGCAAATCAATTGGATTTGAAATTGGCACATGTTATCAGGACCCACTGTAGTTTGTTCTTTTCGGATTTGCTTGCTTGTGTACTCAAACAACGTAGAATCTCCCAACACCAATGCTCCATGTAGGCCCCCCAACGTTACAAAGACGAAGCTTTCTAGCTTCAACGCGTTACTAATCACAAAGCAATGAAGAGATCACATAACAGGGTGCGGATTGTGGAGTTGGAGAGGCCGCAGCCACAAATGCTGATTTCACAACTCCGATTAAGTTACATTCTATGATCGCGAGGTTGAGTAAGAGTCTGGCTTTGATGGGGGATTTGCCGGTCTGCAGCTTCTTCCTGATGGGCGATTATCAGGGGAATCACTTCTCTAGACTTTTGTCTGTCTACTGTCTCAAATACCACAAATTTCCTCCAATTTCTTATACAAATGTTACGCTTAGAAAATAGACTATGAATGTATCAATTTGTGAATAAAATGTTCGAGAAGGTTTATCGAATGAGAACACGATTTATAAATTTACTGAGAAAACTTAAAGACATCGTGGGTAAATTCTTCAACTTTTGACTGTTTTGGTACAGTAGTCTATTTAGAATTGACTACAATGATCTTACATTAGTCCCAGGGTAATTAGCCGTTCTTGGTAATATTCAATTTATTTTGTTCGTTAAAACAATGTAAAATCGAAATGTGTATAGTTTCCGACGAATTTTGGAATTTATTATGTACAAAAAACGTGATACACATTACAGTATCTGAAAGATGTAATTATGTAATAAATGAAATGACAAAACGCATGTCATGATTTTAGCTGTGTGGCCTACTGTATTTATATTATTTTGGCAGTTGTATTTTTAGTATCGAAAGGTTGAAATCCACGTTCTCATTTGACCTTTTAAATCAAATATTAAATTTCCAACACAAAACAATACTCTCGATAACTATACCACTTTAAATATATATTTTAATGTTAAATCAATTTCATTCCAAAAATCCTCACAGCACTTTCATATGATTTTCACCTCGCCTTTGTTCTAGATATGATTTACGCCCCTTTCCTGCACCTCACTCAACCTTGACTATTGCTCGTTTCTCAGTTATGGTTGCTCGTTGCTCGTTTACACCTGACTCGCCTCGTTTGTTTTGCAAATCGCGGCACCTACCTCTCGCATTGTTGCCACTACAACAATGCGCGCGGTTATTGTTGATTGTTGTCGTAAATTACTAAACAATTGGTAGTCTCAACAAACTGACGAGAGAAAGCTTGAAGGTTGGAATTATGGACATTGAACTGAGATTTGTGTGTAATAGCTGATTAAATTTATAGAGTATGCTGTGTTTCTGTGTGGTATTGACGTTAGTTGGCATTAGCAAGCTGTACAAGTCTGTTCTTGTTATTGTGGATTTTTATTATCTGTGTTGAATTACAATGACATTCTTAATCTAAGCCATCGTGCAAAATACGTAACTTTATATAATGACATTTCACAGCCAAAAATTAAAATTTTCCCTGCTATAGAAACCGAGGCCCACAGTATACTTTCTAAATATACATTGTCATCAATTCAACAATATCAACAATATCAACAATACACTATGTATAAGGTCTCAAAATTCCTATACATGGAGGTAATTTTGATTATGCCAGAATTGTCAATTGTCCCGAGGCTACTTATAAGATTTGCTACAGAGAATGTCAGCATCGCTGTAAGAAATAAAGAAACATATCACCACACATAATTATGCTATTATACTAAATTTTCTGACGTTTTCCATCCCCAAATTTCAACCTGGTTTCCGGTGTAAGCGGAAGTTGTAGTTGTGGACCAGCTGGGCGCTTTTCATCTGGTTTTTGCCAGTAGAAAGTGTCAGATACGGAGCGTGTCCAATGTCGCCGTCGGTTGTTCTCTTGGCCACAGAAATTGGCATTGGACTCAAATTGCAATACAGTATTTAAACAAGAATTTGGCTTTGCGTGCACAATTTCAAAAACACAGTTTCAATACCATGTTTTGAGTTTTGACCAATCTTTTCCTACTATTGTAGACTAGAACTAGAATGTGAAGCGAATAAAGAGGATTTCAGCAATGAAAACATTATTCGAAATCCGTTTTCCTAACAATAACTGATAAAAATATGTATTGTATTTTATCAGATTTAACACAGTCGCATCTGTTGGTCCATGCCAAGCTCTATGTGTTAAAAGAGGTGTGGCTAAACTTGATGACTATCAACTGATTGAACGTGTTTCCAAGCATTTTGGCTGAATAATGAGAGAAAAAATAACAAGCGAACGTAATAATTATATTAGTAAAACGTATAACAGAAGAGAAAAAAGCCCCCTAAGAAACGTGGCAAACTTGAGACAAAGAATAGTCTATAGTCTTGATCTGATACCTTCATACAACATGAAGTTGGGTCCTGTGAAGTAGCTTAGCACTTCAATTTGATAGTGACACGTTGTTTTTGTAGCCTTGTCACCTACAACAATGGTTAAGCTCTTGTGTGCATTCAAGACATCTATATTGTTACAAGTCAGGAGCCCCGCGCAACAATAGCCAGGCGCCGTATCAAAAGGGTTGTTTGTTTACACGGGTTTCTCCGTACGTGCCAGTGAAAGACAATAGACCCATGTCAACGGACTACCTCAATAGGGGCCCTAGAACCTTCTACACTTCTACGGCGTAAACACCTTTGTCTAGGCTACCAGGGGTCTCCAGAATGTTCCACGGCAAACTTATATAAGGGACCGTCTTCCGGCACACGGCAGTTGAGTTGAGTTGAGCCTTCCGAGAATCGTCGCAGCAAGCGCCCGTCGGTGTTAGTGACCAGTGCTAGTGCTAGTGGCAGTGACAGTGTAGTGACGGTGTAGAGACAGTGTAGTGACACTGGTGACAGTGTAGTGACAGTGTTGTGACAGAAGTAGTGATAAATCCTGTAAAGGTTAGCTGTAAGTAGAATCATTGTAAATTAGAATAGGCTTTAGCTAGGTTAGATAGGGTTAGTTAGGTGTTAGGTAATTGTAATATCTGTAAATATAGAACAATAAGTGTAAATAAATAGTTAATATAAAATCGCCAAGTTTTTATTGTAAAGAACCCGTTAAGCCCGCAACAGTTGGTGTCAGAAAGCGGCATTATTTTGGCGATTTTAATTGTAAAGTATTAAGTTACATTTTAGTTGTATTAAACATTAGTAATTTGTATCACAAATTTGTTTGAAAAGTAATAGTTAATTAATTGCTTTTGTTAAAATTGCGTTGTCAAAAATAGAAATTATTTATTGTAAAATTAGTTTAATTGTTTGGCATAAAAATGGCTTTCAAAGGTGTGAAACTTGATGAGTTAAAAGTAGTTGATCTTAGGAGAGAATTAGAAGAACGAGATCTAGATACTAGTGGAACTAAATCAGCCCTTCAGGCACGCCTTAAACAAGCTTTAATTGATGCAGGTGAAGACCTAGATAACGTTTTATTTGAAACATCTGATTTTAATAAAATGCTTAAAAACCTAGAAGCAAATATTGAGTCAAAAATGTTAGAAAACTGCAAAGCGTTAGAGTCAAAAATGTCAGAAAATAGCAAAACATTAGAGTCAATGTCAGAAAATAGCAAAGCATTAGATTCAAAAATGTCAAACCTAGAAGCAAATATTGAGTCAAAAATATTAGAAAACAGTAAAGCATTAGAGTCAAAAATGTCGAATGTAGAATCAAAAATGCTGAACAAGTTAGATGAGTATTCTAGCAAAGTTGATGATTTAGAAAGTAGGATCAATGAAATGGATGAGAAATTTAATTGTATAGAAAAGAATCTAGAAGATAGGTTAGTTAAGCTTAGGCAGGAAATGGCTGCATCGGGGAGCTTCACACCTGCGTCATCGGCTAGCACTGGCGAACTTCAGCAGGATAACGCCCTAGAAACGATCTCCAAGCCAGCGCCCACCATTGCTGCCGTTGCCCCTCAGAACATCGTTCCTCACTTCGATGGTAAAACTCCCTGGGAGGACTACATGCTTCTATTCGAGACAGCGGCTATGGTCCATGGGTGGACCGAGGAGACAAAAGCTTCGACACTGT